CTTTTGCCTCTTTTTTCTTTTGAACCTTTTTTTAATCGTTATTTATTTTTTTATTCATTTTCACATTTTATAATTTCTTTTATTTCTTTTAATTTTCTTCATTCTGTCCTATTTTTTCTGTTTATTCCGTTTTAAAATCACTTTTTAAATTTTCTTTCTTTGTTTCGGCCTGCTACTTTATTCGTTAGTTCCCTTTTGAAATCCTTATTTATTATTTATTCCTTTTTCACTTTTTCTCATTTCTTACTTCTTTTCTTTGTTTTGTTTTCTTTTTTGTTTTTCTTTTTTTCTTTACTTATCTGTTTCATTATTTTCTCCTTTATCTTTTATCTTTTCTGTTAATAATTTTGTTATTTTATATTTAACCAATTTAATTAAACAAAAATCAAACCATACGTCTTATCTTTTTTGTTTGTTTAATTTGATTTTTTTGTTTGTTAACTTTTTTGTTTTTTTAATCTTTATTGTAAACAATTAAATAAAACAAGTGAAAAAATAAGCCCTAAAGAACCAACGAAAAACAAGTGAAAGAAACCAAAAATTCTAAGACAAAATAATATAAAAAATAAAAAAGCAAAGCAAACAAAAAAAGATGGTAATTTCCGGAAAATATAAAAAACACTTACAAAATATTCACTAAAAAACACATAGCCAAACAAATTGGTAATATTAAAATATCAAGAAAAAAAGATAAAAAAAACAAATAAAAAAGATCATAAACAAAAATACAATTAAATAAGATCAAAAAAATATGAAACAAAAAATGGTACTATATGCTTTATTTTTTGTTTGTTTTTTTAATTTCTGTGTTCTTATTATTTATGTTTTTTCATTATTTATTTATTTATTTATTTATTTAGGGCTTATTTTATTCACTCGTTTTGTTTAATTATTTACAATAAAGATTAATAAACGGACAAAAAAGAGTACATAAAAAAATTAAAACATATGGTTTGATTTTTTTGTTTGATAAAATTGACTAAATATAAAATAACACAATTATTAACAGAAAAGATAAAAGAGAAAATAACAAAACAGATATAAAGGAAAAAAAGAGGACAGAATGACGAAAATTAAAATAAAAAGGGAAAGAAATGATAAAAAGTGAAAATGAATCAAAAAAATTAAAAAAGAGTTAAAAAGGATCAAAAGAAAAGAGGGGAAAAGAAAGGAGAGTAAATGGGAGTGCGTTGAAAAAGAAAAGAATATAAATTATGGGAGTGTAAAGAGAAGAAAAAGAAGAAATAGGGGTCAATGTGAAAAAATAAAATTATGAGTATTCCATTTGGCCCAAAATGACTTAGGCTCTGTTCCGTACGCCTGATCTGATTGAATCTGATCTGAATTTTTGAAGTTCTGATCTGATCTGATCTGATTGGGTCTGATCTGATCTGATCTGATCTGATTGGATCTGATCTGATTGAATATGATCTGATCTGATTAGATCTAATATGATTAGATCTGATTTTTCTAATTAGATCTGGTGTAAATGAATTTAAATTTGATTGAAACTAAACTTAAAATTATTAAAAAAATTAAAGGTTTAAAAATATTATAATGCATATATATATATACATAAAAAAAGTAAAATAAGAAAATCAGCTAATCATCAATATGTTTAAACTTTTTTTTAAATATTAAACATTTTTTCAATATTACAACTTTTTAATTTCTGTAAAAACTAAATAATCGATATTAAAATTAACAAATTTAGAAAATATTGATGCTATTCTACAAAATTATCACATTCTATATAAATATTACATAATAATATATTTCATGTTACAAATTAAAGATCATATAAAATTTTAAACACTAATATCGCTTTTACACCTATCAATTTTGTCATAAACTCACCCTTGAGTATATTATACCATCTTAAAGTTTAAAAATAAGTCTTTTTAAGTATAAAATATTTATAGTTTTGAAAACTAAGTTTTGTATAATTATTTTATAAACATTTATTTTAAAATAACTCTTTTTAAAGTATGAAAAATAAAACTTTTTAAGCTTTAACATTGCTTCCATGCATCATTTCTATCCTACAAGCTAAAAATTATATAAAATAATGGTTTGTAGTTGAAATATAATAATAATAATAATAACAATAACAACAACAACAACAACAACAATAATAATAATAATAATAATAATAATCATAATATGATTATTATTATTATTACAACAATAAAATTTAAAATTATAATATTAATTAAGATTTAGGTGTGTGTAGTTTTAAATAAAGTAATGTGATTTAATCAAATAATAGTAATTATTATTTAATCTTTGAATAATATAAATATTATCTTTTATATTTTTCTTGATTTGATATTATTGAATTTGATCTGGTCTGATCTGATCTGATTGGATCTGGTCTGATCTGATTGGATCTGATCTGATTGAGTCTGATCTGATCTGATTGAGTCTGATCTGATTGAGTCTGATCTGATCTGATTGAGTCTGATCAGATCTAATTGAGTCTGATCTGATCTGATCTGATCTGATTTTAATAAGAATAAGTAATAAGTAGAAAAAATAAGTCCTACGGAACAGACCCTTATTGGTCACCTGATAATTGCAAATGGACTTTTGGTGAAAATATGGTAAAACTTGAGTTACTTTTGTGAAAGGTTTTGAAATACAAGTATCAAATCAAAATTGGGAGATAGACCAAAATAGGACCAAAACATTGAAAATATCCAAAAATAAGACTTCCATGTTTTTATTCCCAAAATAAGAGTTAAAATGCAATTATATTACCAAACATGATCATATATATTACCAAAAAGTATAATAATGTGCACATGTATAATACCACATTACAACCACATTACCACATCATATCGTGAAGTCATATTTCGGGAAAAAAAATATGAAAGTACTATTTTGGTACTTTTCTCTATGTTTTAGTTTTATTTAAGTTGATTTCTAGTCGAAATTTTCGTGCAAGTTCAGGTACTATCCTTGAAATTTATCCCAATCATAAGTGTAATCAATGTTCACTGTTTGGGAAATTTATCGGGCTAAACAACAAAGGGAAAAAAAATACGGAGTAAAGAATAAGGAGTATTATATTTTAAATATATTTTTAAAATATATTTTTACTGCTACTTGTAATTTGAGTTTCTAAACTTTTGATCTTTTATAAGGATGAGATATTTTAATAAAAATACTATCTCTTCTATATATTGATTATCTAAATTTAATTATTTTTTAATATATATCTAAATTAAATATTTATTCTAATGTATAATTCTAATTTTACAAAAAAAATCATAAAATAAAAATATTATTACATTATAATATGAATGATTATTCTAATATATGAATTGACTATTTTTATTTTATTAAAAAATAATCATTAAATAAAAAATGTTGATTATATTATAATATGAATTATCATTACAATTTTCAAACGTTATAATAAAGTCAAATTAATTATTGATTTAAAATTTTAAATTAAATCATAATTAATCGGATCAGATCAGATCAGATCCAATCAGATCAGATAAGATTAGATCAGACCAGATAAGATCAGAACTTATTAGAATCAGATCAGTTTAGAAAAAATAACAGATCAGATCAGATCAAAATTCTAATGTTAAAATTCAAAACTATCATGTTAATTTACGTAAGAACAATGACTCTGTGCAACATTCTAACTTAAAATTTTAGTATATAAATTTTGCATTAATGAATGATTCAATTCACATTTCCTAATTACAAGAACTAATTTGACTCAACCAAAAATACAAAGATCAAATTGTCTCCTAAATACATTTGCAACGACTAAAATGGGTATTAACTCTAATAATATTAGTCCCTTCGTCTTAATTTAAATTATCTGTTTCAGTTTATAATGTTTGAATAAATTTATTTTCAATGCAATTTACTCCCTCCGTTTCTGAGTGTTTGTCTACTCTCTTTTTTGCACACCATCCAATGCATTTCTTTAATCTATTTTATCTTGTAATTTGTATATTAAAAAATTATAAAAATTACTCCGTATATATTAATAATCTATATGTTAAGACGAATCAAACAAGATCACACATGACTATTTTTAGGCTTACATATTGAGAGAATTTGATGAGTCAAAATGTTTAGATGAACAGTTCCAAAAGTCAAAAGTGGTCAAACACTTAGGAACGGACCAAGTATTAGATAACTGAGGCAGAATTAAAAAATAAACTTTACATGCTACAAAAACTAGATCAAAAGTAGTACGAAAAAAAAGATGACATAATTATATTATCATATCAATTGAGTAGTGAAAATAAGGAAAGAAAATGTACAATCAATTTGAGGAATATTCAAGCACCATAAGGTAGGGGTGTATACGAATCGAATCGAAGCAAATATATCACTATTCGATTCGTATTCGATTAAAGTGGTATGTATTCGAATTCGGATTCGTATATAATTCGAATTTTAAAAAACATTCGTATTCGATTCGATAGATATTTGACGTATTTGAATTCGTATTCGAATATTCAAATTCGAAAATATTAGTATTCGAATTCGAATATAATTCGAATCTAAAATATGATTTGTATTCGGATTCGAATTCGAATATAGCGAATACGAATCATCCTTTTCGAATACGAATCACGAATCGAATACATTTTATTTGATTTGTATACACCCCTACCATAAGGACATGTGAAATCCAATTAGAAATCATCCTAAATAGGACTAAAACATTAAAAAAGTGCAAGAATAAGACTTTCATAATTTTTTTCCAAAATAAGACTTTGCCCTAAGACAAATTTGACATTATACATGTGCACATTACTATACTTTTTTGTAATGTACATGACCATGTTAGGTAATGTAAATGCCTTTTAAGTTCTATTTCAGAAATAAAAACATGTAAATCTTATTTTGGTATATTTTAAATGTTTTAGTCCTACTCGTCTTTCTCCCAAATCCAATCCAAAAATCTAAATCTTTTCACTTAAATATGCTTAATTGAGGCCGAAATCATATAGTAGAACATGCAGGTCTGGGTCTATGCGCATAAGCCGAAACAAAATTTGGGGAAAGTAAAGATATTAACACAGGCAGGCACATAGGCTAGCAGAAACACAATTTGGAGAATAACAAAGACATACTACTAGTATATACTCAACATCACAGTATTAAAGGCAAGTTAAGAGCAGATTGGGATTTGGCAAGCTCCATCACTTCATCATAGTCTGGACCCCCTGCTACATGCTCATCCTCGCTCTCCGAATCGATTTTGGGGTTATCGTCGTAAGTGATGGAAACGGTGATGACTTCCCCATCCTCACTGTCTATGTCTATGGTCTGGGCTTCGTTCTTAAACACGGCCTCAAACACAAGATCTTTTTGCAAAACACGCCATTCCCCATCATCACCGCACAAATTCAAAGAGAAGGAGAGGGTCAATCCAGCCCTTTTCGATGCTATCACCATGGATCTATCTAGAGGAAGAAAACCATCAGGGCCAACACGGACACAGTCGTCCGAAGAAGATCTGGCGAACATTACGAAATCACTCTGTTTCCTGACAATTTCCCTAGAGGCTTTGATGCATCCGTACACGCGCATATTTTGGTGAAGCCCACTAATGCAAACCAGACCCCAAACAGCATCGGAAAGTGTGGCAAAAACTACACTCACAACACCGCCATCACCTCCCACTTCCCCTTCATAAAACCCCACACCGTCGCCCACATTGCTAAATACGCCTCTAGCAAAAACTCTCTCTTGGCCATCACCACGGTCCTCAAAGAGGTTTATCCCAATGGTGATGCCATACGATATTTCAAGGGTAGAGCAATGAGGACCTTTCAGTTTTAAATCGTCTCCTCTCCTCTTTTCTTCACTTTCGGATGCCCCGCAGCAATACAGGACTTGCATGCATATCTCATCAAAAACAATCACCTTTCCGTAGATTTTAGCACCAGCCCCGCCGTTTTTGATATCCTTCACGGTTATACGCTCAATGCTCGGGATGAAACACAACCTATGTAGATAAATGACTTGTTTTCTAGGAATATCTGGGAGAAGAAGATTAGGGTGATTGAGCTTGGGATGCTTATCGCGGTGACCTTCTTCGTCCAGATCTCTGAACCAACACATCTCAACATTCGTGGGCATCCAATTCCGATAATTCTTCATGGCATGTTCAGCTATCTCTAGGTTCCGAAATTGGATAAAGGCATACGGCTCACCATCCTCCCTCACCACCTGGAGGGCAATCACCTAAAAGAAGAAGATGTCCACTTTCTTTATAATAACAACCTTTAGGAACCCCCATTATTCACAACTAAAAACCAACATTTTCAAGTAAAATGCAATTCTATAAGACTTTTCCATAAAAGACATACTCCGTACAATATCATTCCCATATTGACTATGGTGCCTCTTTGACTTTGTCAGAATTTTATTAGATTTGCTGCTGCCTTTTTAGATTGATGCTTGACCAAAAATATGAGATCAAATCAATTTATTTGAATGGATAAATTAAAACATAAACTTTATACTTAAAATCAGACTTCAATACTCCATATTTGGCTTTAGAAAAGCCACATCAGAACACAAATCATTGGGGGGTGGGGTGGGGGGGGGGGGGAAAGACCTGCAGGAGGGCTTACATACCTTTCCAGGAGGTTCTGGATCAAAGATCTGCAACAGGTACTTCTTATCCATCGACGAATCAAGCCCAACAAGCTTGACAAACGGATAATACGGTGGAGCCAGCGGAGTGATGCATACATTGTTTTGAATTGTCACTTTCTGCAGCCGAATAAGGTCCAGGTATTCCTGTGGATCGGAGAAAGATGAAGGGGGATCATTCGTAGTTGATATAGAGGCCTTGAAGAAATATTCAGTTTAAAATTAAATACGTCTACCAAATATTTGTCTAAAACTGAATCTATCTTCAAAAGTCTAAAATATAAAATAATTTCTTCCGCACACTATTTTGGGAGCATGAGAAAAAGATGTGCAAATTATTAAAAATGAGATTGTATAGTTGATATTGATATTAAAATTTTGTTTGACATCTCATGGTGACTCATCCTTTAGTTCCCTATAATGATTTACTCTTAAGAGTTTGCGCAAATCCTTAATATACGTCTATAGTATTTTTTTCTGAGCTTATGTTTAGCCTCTGTAGGTTGAGCTCATGAGAGGAAACAGTCAAATGGAAGATTGTATGTATGCAATATGCAACACACACACATATACATACATACATATGAGGAAGGGTAATTTGGCCCGACCATGAATTGTGTGTGTTTTGCATCATCATGAGATTGTTTTTTTGCCTAAGCGTAAGGCGTATATTATAAGCATCAAGGGTTGTTGTAATATTGGAAGAAATAATAAAGGAATACAAAATATGACTAACATTTAACAAGAAAGACTACACGTTTAATTAGATTTCGAAGGGGCTGTTGTCCAATACGTCTATATGCTATATAAACTATCATGTCTTTGATATGCTTTCAGAATAGTTAGCTACTTAGAGAAATATTTCTTGGAGCTTCTATGGATTTTAAAATTAGCTTAATAGTGGGTATTAGGGTTTTAGAAAAGGCACACCAGAACACAAATCGTGAGGAAAAAAGACAGACGGGCGGGAGTAATTGCAGACACACCTTTCCACGAGCTTTTGGATCCTCCTCTGGAATTTGTATCTCCATGGGATCCGGTGGTTCTCTCTTCAATTTCAATTTCAATTTTTACGAGAGAGAAGAAGGTGGGATCGTTCGCTGTTGTCCTAAGGTCCATAATATAGGGGCGTAGTATCCGGTCCGAAATATGGTCCATGATCCAGGGCCCATCCGAAAAAATAGATATCCCATCCTATATTTTAACTTTTGAATATTTTAGATCGGATATAGAATGAAATATTAATAATTTGGATATTCGTAGATATCCGAAGTTTATATTTATAAATAAATAAATTTAAAAATAAAGCTTAGAGAACTTAAGTCCCAACTCATTTTCATCATCATAAATATTTGATTCTAAATATTTGATTCTAAGATTAATTGAGGTTTTTACTTAAGTCTTTTCGTCTATGTTTTATTTGTCAATTACTCCCTTCGTCCCAGAGTATTTGTTCACTTTCATTTTTATGAACCATCCAACACACTTCTTTAATTAATTTTATCTTGTAATTTGTATATTAAAAAATTATAGAAATTGTATATATATGTTAAGACAAATCAAACAAAATCACACATGACTATATTTAAGCTTACACATTGATAGAATTTGATGAGTTAAAGTGCTTAGATGAACAGTTCCAAAAATTAAAGGTGGACGAATATAGTGGGACGGAGGTATTATGTTGATATTCTTTTTTATTACATTTATAAAATTATGATATGTGATAACACTATCAAGAAACTATGATATTTAAAATAGAATTGACTTCAAATTCAAGTCTAATTTATGACCTCTACTATTTTAACAAATAAAAAATCATTCTAAATACTTTTTTAGAATTATTAGAAAAAATAAAAATTAAATAAATAAATAAATTTTTTTTGGATGTTCCATTGATCGGATCCAAAATTTCGAATATCCGAAATTAGGGTATCTGGTAATTTTTGGATCAGACATGGAATAGATATTTACCGATTCAAAAATTTTAGATATCCAAAAGACCGGATCGAATATATCCGAATGAACACCCCTAGATTATAAGCATATTATACTCTCTAATAGTTTATTATAGAGAATTTATCTAAATAGGACCAAAACATAATAACTTTGGAAGAGGGATTAAAATGGTAGTAAAACTTGTGACATATCCACAAAATAAGAGTTGGAACATAAATTTTTCTAAATAGAAATAATTAACTTAATTAATCTAAGGACTTAGAATTCAGGAGCAAAATAGAAATATAACTCAATTTCATAATCTAAGGACTTGGAGTCTGCAACCCCTTACGGACTAAAGTATTAACTTGATTATCGTAGAAATTTAAAACATTTCAAACATTTAGAAACTTTATTTCATAATAAAGCATTCACGATAATAACAAAGTAGTTTAGTGTTGCGGAAGCTTAATAAATAACAATTACAAAAACATAATAATTATTATGTCTTTCAAAACAACAATTCAGATTTTCACACCCATATCAACCATCTCGCCTCATCTGTCGCCCGCCAGGAGTGCATCACTTCATTCTTTGTGTTTACCTTCGTGTATCAAATAAAACATACTACACGTTCAGCATTGAAGCTAAGTAAGCATATTGTCGAACATCCATATAAATTGAATCTCAATTCATAACCAAATCATTTGATATCAAGCATATAATTCTCAGTTCAGATATTTCCAGAAAATATAAAAAAACACAAAAAATCACAAAATAACACATAGCCAAACAAATAGATAATATTAAAATATCAAGAAAAAAAGATAATAAAAAAAATAAAAAAGATCACAAACAAAAAAAGAAAAAAATAAGATCGAAAAAATATGAAACAAAAAATGGTACTATAAGTCTTATTTTTTGTTTTTTTTTAAATTTTCTATTATCTTATTTTTTTCTGTTTTTTTCATTATTTATTTATTTATTTGGGGCTTATTTTATGCACGTCTTTTGTTTAATTATTTATAATTAAGATTAATAAACGGACAAAAAAGTTAACCAACAAAAAATTAAATAAAACAAAAATTAAGACGTATGGTTTGATAATATTTTGTTAAATTAAATTAATTAATTACTACGTATAAAATAACAATCTATTAACTAAAAAGATAAAAGATAAAGGAGAAAAAAACAAAACAGATATAAAAAGGAAAAAGAAAGGACAAAAAGAAGAAAATTAAAATAAAAAGGAAAGAAATGATAAAAAAGTGAAAATGTAAAAAAAATTAAAAAAGAGTTAAAATGGATCAAAAGTAAAAAAGAAGCAAGAAAAAAGAGGGAAAAATAGCGAATAAGAAAAAAGAAAAGAATGAAAAACAAAAAATAAAAGAATGCTCTGATCTTGTGTCAAAATGTAGGCCAAACTTCAATGGTATGGTAAAACAAATTGGATTAAGGGAACAGAATAGGGAAGGGAACTTAGAAGAGGATGAAACTAATGTTCAATGGTATGGGGAAACAAAAGCTGTGATTTATATTCTTTGTTTTTTGTTTGCACAAGTAACTATTGGATTTGGCACAACGAAATGCATAACGATAACCAAAAGGTTACCGAGTTTGCGCCTAATATAAACATTGCATACAACACAACTACTCAGAAAGTCACTATACTCAGCTATAAAATATTGCACCCATATATGTTTGTGAGGGGTGGGAATGGCATCTTATTGCTTGCTCCATAGTAGCTTTATGGTCCCACACAGTATGTACACTTCTATACTGTGACAATAGATACCATAAAGTCTCCTTTAATAATAAGTTTATCATCAAAGACATGTAGTGTTTGCAATTTGCAGAAGCAATAAGCAGGTAGGTACTTGTTTCTGGTTTTATAGAATTCAAACTTCTTAAAATAAGTAAATAAATAATAAGCAAAGTTATAAGTTGGTTGTTTATCATACTCCGGGATTGTAAGAGCTTTTTGAAATAAGCAATGAGTAGAAATTTATGTGGTTGTTCTAACCCGTGATCTTTTATTCACTAAAGGAGCGCCTCAAGCATTGCGCTAAATCTCATGGTGATGGAAAATATGCTGTTTTATTTTGTTATTGACTAAGTTTTTGCCTCACTGGATTTTTCAAGGGAAGGTTGGTAACAGGGCAGCATAGCCAAGTTTAAAAGAGTATGGCACAGCAACCTCCAAGAGAACAAATAGAGATTATTATATACGGAGTATTACCTTAGATTATGTGATTCTCTGACATAAACCACCTCTTGTGCTTTACTCTGATTTGTAAGAATTCAAATCAGCGTGTGTGTCTTTGTATCGTTGGAGTAAGTATGTTTCACATTTTATTGGAGGAAACCTGCAGCACAGCAATGCAACACATTCGTACTAAAATTGTTGGGAAAGATGGCACTTGCGTCTTACTTCAACTAGTGATTGATGAAAGATTTCGAAGTACCCTTAGATCTGAATAAGTTGATGCCTATTTCTGGAAATGTTTAGACATTAGTTGAATGTTTTGATTGAGTTGACTTTAACAAAAAATGAACTTAATGCATTTCTTGAAATATTAAAGGAATAATCTCTAAAAGATGATGGTAGAACTGTCATTTTAATTATTGATCAACTAAAGCACATGCCTCAACAAAGTAGAGATTATATTGATTTTTTTTGAACAGAAACCTCAATATATTAGCAATCACAACTGTACACCAGTTTTCAAAACAGAGCATTATTACATATTTATGCCCCTAAACTGCAAGTAAACAGTACAAAGGTTATGAACAAAACTAGCAGTTGTGTCAATGCTATGCTCTTTGCCATGGGCTTTGTTGTTTCTAGCAATTATATTGATTTTTGTTGTTCTACTCAAGTAATGTTGTCAAAGAAGTTGATGTTCTGTAGAAACATTGGCTGAAAAGTTTAAAAACAGTTGTGGTATCAAACAGACTTAATTGTTGAATTGTTGTCATTGCTGCTACAACTGGAATGACCACGAAGATGATGATGATGATGATGAAGAATATGATTATGATTATCATTATGATGATGACAAAGAGACGACACTGGTAACAGATGATTAAAAGGAAAAACACATCTTGTTGCAGTTGGAAACCAAATGTAAAATAGGGACACAAGTACAAACTTGGGAGGATTTTCTTCTGATTGGCAAGTTGGTAGACATTCCACAACACAATCATGACTAGGCTCCAAGAAAAATGGAATCTGCTCATTGAAAGAAAAGTAGGCATGATCATCAAAACTATCGGCTATCAAACATCTTTGACAGATTCAAAATTACTCTCAGAGCTATAATCCACTCACAGCAATCCAGCACAAAAATTGTTTTTAATATAACTTAATTTAAATTTAGAGTAGAAATATAAAAAAATTATGTATTTGAAAATTACATCAAAAGATCTACAAAACAATAAGTGTGACATGACTATACTATTTTGTCAAATGATCAATGAAAATAAGCAAAGAAAGAGATAAAACTTCACTCGTGAATAGTATAGTGGACAGTGACATTCTTTTGAGGAGGAATGGAGAATACACTTACTAGTTACTACTGTTAAACCAACTAACATTAGCTCAGCTAAAATTACCAAGATAAACTGATATTATGTCAAACTATTGGAGAACAACCAAAGCAAACCAAACCAAACATACTCTATATATCTTGCCTTGAGGTTAGGAAAAGTGAAAACATGCAGAGGTTACCTCTACTAGTTTACTCATAGGAGTAAAGAGGCAGTCTCCGAGATGACCCTGGGCCCTAGCAAACACTAGAAGACAGTGAATAGTATGTTAACCAAATGAAAGACTTACTGAATATCTTTCTTGACCATTTCCAAGTACACGATGCAAAGTTGATCTGGAAAAAATCAGCAAACATAGAGAGATTTGGGATTTGCAAGTAACATGCAAATTATGGCAACAACCAACTTTTTTGAAAAATTACAATATGTTTTTACACTTCAAAAGAGATCGTATTCAAATGAGAGGTGTGCAGTATTTAACTAAATAACAGTTCACTGGAGTATGTATACACATGCATATAGAAGTACGCACAGCCACACAAAAGTGTTGATACACTTACAAGGCAGATCCCATGCCCCAAGGCCTTCACACCCTGGCCCAACAAAGGAGGGGAGGGTTAAATCATGGTGACTCAGCAGTCCCTTATGTGATAAGGAGTGTATGTGTCCACAATGAGCCCATCTCATGGGGTGTAACTCCGGTATAACGGTTATCAAAGTTCAACCCTCCATATACCCTTGTATTTGTCCATCCGAGAACCAATTGATGAGGTGCCCGCATGGGGTGTGAAGACTACCTAGGTTATATGAATAAAAACTTTAAATTACCTAAATTTAAGGTTGCTCCACCGCTCCAACATATCACCAATATTCACTATGAATCCACTGTCAGTAGAAAGCAAATTTAAAAAATGTAAAAGGTCTCTAGAACAGTCAATAGCTATATTTTAAGAGGTTTGACATGTTATTTTATGTAATATTTTAACAGGACAATACATAACCCCAAAGAAAAGACTAATAATACTATGTAGACTTAATGCATACTTTACCAAAAATACTGCTTGTGAAAGAAGTGAATATGTTTTTGTTTCTTTGGTTCTTTTCATACGAGCCATATCTTAAGATGGTTCCTTACCCTTTCAATGGCAATACATACTCCCATACCTGAGGAATAGCTTCCCTATCCTTGCAGATCTGGACAAAACTAAAGGGTTAAGATGCAAAAATACCCTCAAATATGCCACAAAACACAAACCACTAATCTACTTTTAGGCACAAAATACCTTTGGTGGGAACATATTATTGTCAAATGTGGCATATTAAAGTGGGACAAGAAGTGTGATAGTTTTGTTAAATTATACTCAAAAATCAATTTTTTAGATACATTGTTTTCCCAGGTTAATGCACAAAAATACAAACCCAGTACTAAATTGGGCCCTATATGATTTTTATTACTCCCTGACCAAATATAAACTTCATTGTGTGAGTGATCAGTGTTCAAATGTTTAACAAAAGTCTAGACACCTACGTAGCAGCAAAGCAGTATCCATGCGCCTTTACTGCGACTTAGATGGTCAGGCGCTTTAGCCCCAATTAGTTAGCTTAGGCAAATAAACTAAGCACCTTTTTGTTTATTAACAATTTTAAATATTACTATTTTATCAGATTAATATTAATAATGCATAAATAACAATTACCAATTATTCTTAAGTAAAAAACTCAATCAACTACATGATGATGCAGCACACAATCTTATCTTTGATTAACTATGGAACACATACTCTATATATAGAAGAATGGAAGGTATGTTGAATGACGGAATGAATGAAGAAAACAAGAGAAATGAAAAAATATAATACCTTTGGGGCTTGAACTCAAGACCACCAATTACATTCCGTGTGCATTGGAACTAATTTCTACAAGTTGAGCTATGAATCACTTTTCAATTTTTGATATGCATTATACATATAATTCATACAACATTGATGTTCTATCACGGAAACTAAGCAAAGCTATTTTATAAATATTTTAAAAAAATAAAATTGTGTGGCTGGTTGAGATTTATTCGAAGAGGATAGAAAAAATGTGAATGACACATTTGTTTCTCTAAAAGGAAAGTGTAGTTAATTGTGACACACCCAAGAGTAAATCGGTGAAGTTTATCATGGGATGGAGAGGGTATTATTTTAAAGTTTAAACTCAGTGAATTTTTTTTCTTGCCAAATGCAGTGAAAGTATATGTGCTGCTTCTAGTGCTTTCTTTATAGGAAGATGAATATCTAGAAACTGTAAGCATATATTATACTCAATTAACTTAAAAATAGTTTGGTGCTTTTGTGAATTCTTAAATTACAAAAACTGTTTGGTGATGGACTGATGGTAGGATAAAAAACATGCTCTGTATCTCAAGGTTTATTTTTTGCACTACCTCCGCCTTAGAGTATTTGTCAAATTTTGACTTTTTGCTGTCAAATTTGATAAACTTTGACAATTAATTAAATACTATGGGTAAAATTTATTTAGATATTGAAACAAAAATAATATAATTAGATTTTCTTATTTTCAAAATATGTATTTATCTAATAAATATACAAGGTAATTTTTATTTAATTAAAGGTCAAAGGTTGATCTTGATTGACTATAAAAAGTCAAAATTGGACAAATACTCTAGGATGGAACGAGTATTATATTGTTCAAAAAGATGTGCCTAAAATTTGATTTAAGGGTATAAGTATTCCCCAACATATAATTCAAGTGTATTGTTGTGTCTCAGCTCAGGACTTGATAGGGCACAATAGTGTCGTTTGATCCATGTAGCCGACCCCACCTAATGGGTAAGGCTTTGTTGTTGTTGTATTAGTGTGTCTCAAATTTGGTTTGGGGTACAAGTCTTTTGTGACACATACTTCACGTGCATTGTGCCTTAACCTCCCCTCCCCCGAAAAAAAATTGCAAGTTCATTTCACAAAAATTGAAAGTGAATAACCATCTTAAGCCCTTAATTGCACTAGTTTACATACCTGAAGACCATAATTTTCATCTGTTGCTAAAAGTGTGATAAAACCATAATCACTATGTGCACCAGCTCCGAAAATTCCCTTAGCAGGGTCAGAATATTTACCTGTTGCATTTAGTGCGTGTACACATTATTAACCAAATGGAACAAAGAATAAGCACAATTTGTCTTGCATTGGGCATCAGAAAACTTGTGTCAACCTTCATAATGTAGCAGGCGAAGAGTGGCTATAGGTTTGCCAAGATATTCTGGCTGCAGAAAAAAATCAACATCCATGTCTAGTGCAAGAGCTATGATCTTCGCTATCTCTAATGCCACCTTACTGAATTAATAAAATATGTAAAACAAATAAATAGACATAATAGAATGAAACCTAGATACATAGAAAAGATTCATCTTAAAAAAAACAATGTGTATGCTAGGAACCATTTGGGGAAGTGGGTAACATTATAGTCCCCTAGTTATGGAACATTTTAAAATTTGAGAGAATACCATATATTACTGGCAAAAAACAGTTAGAAAAAATATTGTATATGTGAATTTTAACTGTCAACAACAACATACTATAATCCAAACTCCATTGTGGTTTGAAAGTCAAGATCTGCACAGTCTTACCTCTGTAATAAACAGAGAGATTGTTTCAATCCCTTGATGCATTTATTCCCGAAGATCTCATAGAAAGTAAAAAGCAATGGATGTTTAATGTGCCTTTTAAAGTTTAAAACAGTCAACTAAACATAAATATTATACAGAACTTGCTCTTTCTACTGTAAAATCCGATCATGGTAAGGATATCAGAGCTTACAGTGCCTCTTGGTGATACTTCTCCATAGTGCCTCTCCATCCAGGCAAGATATCTTGCAAAGAATGAATCAAGCTAAATATGTCAACTAATTTATATGTCCAAGGCTTCATTGACATTGAGGCCCACAATTTGTTTTGAAGGAGAAAATGGCATATTGGACTGAGCATCACCTTCAGCAGGCCATTTGTTTGGTCCATAAAATGGTCTTTCCGCTTCAGGGTCATCTTTGGGTAGTTCAATACCTATATAATACCCCTCCTTGTAATCCCCTGAGTCAAAATATAAGACAAACTTCAAAACATATCTAGTTCTACGAGATTTTTAAGGGAAAAAGGTTGGAAGGTAGCTTGAGAACGAAAAAAATTTCAATGGGAAAACAAATGACAATTTTCAAAGTGTACCAAGATGCATTCCAATACTTCCGCATGATAGAATTTTTATAGCTAGATGCGGAGGGAGCATTAGATCCAAGGAGTATTCCCAGTAACTTCATTGTGTTGCTTGATAGATACTTTAGGGATTGGTTTGTACCGAGTGTTTAAGGCCTTATTTAAGATTAATGAATCACATAAACAGCAACAATAGCTTGTAGAACTTGTTTTCACGTTTAAGTGAGCTAGGAGTTCTTTGTGTTCAAAAACCTTGGGGATCGATCAATCTCAGAAAGTAACAATAATCTTGTGTAGTAGTTTAAATCTTTTCAGAGCTCTGTCTGACAAGACAAGTGGTGGCCCAAAGTTGTTCCATGTTTGTCCTTAGTCTGAGTATAGTTGGGAGGAAGCAGAGAGTGGAAGAAGAGCAACATGGTCGGGTGTACAATTGAAGCATGTGTTGCCTTGTCATGTAATAAATGCTTTTGCCGGAGTTCTGTGGTAAGGTATTAGCACATGGTCTAGGCCGGAGCATTTGGGCTGTAATCCTAAATTCCCTGCACTAATATTCCCACTGCCAGCTCCAAAAAAGAACAAGCATGTAATGAAAGAAATAGTATATATGTTACTAATACGCAAAACTTAGAGTTCAAAATTTATATCCATCTTAAATTGCCTTTTGACATAACAGATTATTTCAGTTAGGTGTCTATGCCTAGACATCTTCATGTAATGTATGACAAAATTATTCAGTTGATTACCAAATCAATTTATTGCTCCAAATCCAAAGTCAAAATCCAAAATTTCAATCACAATCTTTATATATACAATGGTAGGAGGCCAAAATGAACAGTGTTCCCGCCCAAATTTTTGGGCCGGGTCTTCATTTAATGGACTGGCTTTAAAAAGTGGGCTATGAAGCCTATTAGTGCAGCTGTCCTCATTTAATGGGCTGGCTTTAAAAAGTGGGCTATGAAGCCTATTAGTGCAGCTGTCCTGAACTATATGTGAAGTAAAAAGATCCGCGCAACGTATTCTGTAAGCTTCTCCGTCAGCGTATTCTGTAAGCTTCTACAAAAAAAAGGTATTCCCTTCCCTATCGAGATCTACGCTAGCTTCAATCTGATGTGCTCTATCACTTCGATTCTATCAACAGGAGAAGGAGCGACTAGGTTTTGATCCTTCTTTCGCCATGGACAACAAGGATTCAAACAGAACAAGGCGGGAGACGACAACGCCGGCTAACCTTCTACCCTAGGCTGGCTGGATTCTGGCGGCACGGAGGGGCTTTGCCCGCAAATTGCAGCTACAGTGCATCAATTCATGCAATAGATATATCAAAATAGCTGCTCCAATGCTCCTTCCATTAGATTTCGGAAGAGGTATGCGATGAAAGAGAAGTCAAGAGCTCAGTTTTGTGAGTTTCTGTGATGGAATATTTTTTGTAAATCTTTTTTTAGGCGACTTCAATTGCATAATAAATACTACGGGTATATCAAAATGCATAATCTTTTTCTATGTTTCACTGGTAACAGCTTAGACCAGTGGTCTTTCTCAAGAGTAGTCTTCACTGTATTATGAACTTTTTCTCAAATAGCATGTGTTTCTGATTTAATCTATCACACAGACGATATTTATAGCAAAATTGATTGAAAATGCTATTTGGAAGGAAGAGTTACATGAGTTGCTGGTCTAAAATAAGTTCCAAGTATTTTGTTTCTTATTTTTTGAGATCTTGAAATCGTTGAAATTTGTTTTCAAATTATTCATGATTTAGTTTTATGTTTGGATTTGATTGAATTATTTGGAAACTTTTGTATGATAGTTTGGCTATTCTTTTGTAGGGTGGCAGAGAGCTCATTCATGCCCAAAGGACCATCTTTGGGTATGTAATCCTTCCCTTTGTCTTTCTCAGTTTAAAACTCGAGCATTCAATACATAATTCTGTAATTCTAATTTTGTATGCGTGTTTTGATTTTTTTTTTTGTGACTTTTTTATGATCTTCTAAAGATACTTAGATTTGTTTTGCAAATATAGTTGGATTAGTGATTAATAATTATTATTAATTGAAACTTTGATTTCCTTGATGTGAGGTTTTATGTGTGCTCAAGGTTTAAGATCATCAAGATATGTTTTGGTGAAGTTTTAAGTGTAGTCTGAAAATACCTAATATAATCAAACCTGTGCATAATGTAAATTTTTACACAATAAATATTTAATGTAGAGATAATATCAAGCTTGCTTTCATAACAACCTGAGTGTTTTAGGTAAGTTAGAAATAGATGCATGTAATTTATGAAGTTTTAAGTTGGAATCAAAACACACGTTTTAAAGTGCTTGAAGACATTGTTAAAACTTATTCAAGACATCCAAGGCTTTTTGTAACACTCAACCACATCTTCAATATTTTGTTATGAATTCATTTTTTTTAATTTCTCTACCGCGCAATGGTAGGAGACCAAAATGAACAGTGTTCCCGCCCAAATTTTTGGGCCGGGTCTTCATTTAATGGGCTGGCTTTAAAAAGTGGGCTATGAAGCCTATTAGTGCAGCTGTCCTCATTTAATGGGCTGGCTTTAAAAAGTGGGCTATGAAGCCTATTAGTGCAGCTGTCCTGAACTATATGCGAAGTAAAAAGATCCGCGCAACGTATTCTGTAAGCTTCTCCGTCAGCGTATTCTGTAAGCTTCTACAAAAAAAAGGTATTCCCTTCCCTATCGAGATCTACGCTAGCTTCAATCTGATGTGCTCTATCACTTCGATTCTATCAACAGGAGAAGGAGCGACTAGGTTTTGATCCTTCTTTCGCCATGGACAACAAGGATTCAAACAGAACAAGGCGGGAGACGACAACGCCGGCTAACCTTCTACCCTAGGCTGGCTGGATTCTGGCGGCACGGAGGGGCTTTGCCCGCAAATTGCAGCTACAGTGCATCAATTCATGCAATAGATATATCAAAATAGCTGCTCCAATGCTCCTTCCATTAGATTTCGGAAGAGGTATGCGATGAAAGAGAAGTCAAGAGCTCAGTTTTGTGAGTTTCTGTGATGGAATATTTTTTGTAAATCTTTTTTTAGGCGACTTCAATTGCATAATAAATACTACGGGTATATCAAAATGCATAATCTTTTTCTATGTTTCACTGGTAACAGCTTAGACCAGTGGTCTTTCTCAAGAGTAGTCTTCACTATATTATGAACTTTTTCTCAAATAGCATGTGTTTCTGATTTAATCTATCACACAGACGATATTTATAGCAAAATTGATTGAAAATGCTATTTGGAAGGAAGAGTTACATGAGTTGCTGGTCTAAAATTAGTTCCAGGTATTTTGTTTCTTATTTTTTGAGATCGTGAAATTGTTGAAATTTGTTTTCAAATTATTCATGATTTAGTTTTATGTTTGGATTTGATTGAATTATTTGGAAACTTTTGTATGATAGTTTGGCTATTCTTTTGTAGGGTGGCAGAGAGCTCATTCATGCCCAAAGGACCATCTTTGGGTATGTAATCCTTCCCTTTGTCTTTCTCAGTTTAAAACTCGAGCATTCAATACATAATTCTGTAATTCTAATTTTGTATGCGTGTTTTGATTTTTTTTTTGTGACTTTTTTATGATCTTCTAAAGATACTTAGATTTGTTTTGCAAACATAGTTGGATTAGTGATTAATAATTATTATTAATTGAAACTTTGATTTCCTTGATGTGAGGTTTTATGTGTGTTCAAGGTTTAAGATCATCAAGATATGTTTTGGTGAAGTTTTAAGTGTAGTCTGAAAATACCTAATATAATCAAACCTGTGCATAATGTAAATTTTTACACAATAAATATTTAATGTAGAGATAATATCAAGCTTGCTTTCATAACAATCTGAGTGTTTTTGGTAAGTTAGAAATAGATGCATGTAATTTATGAAGTTTTAAGTTGGAATCAAAACACACGTTTTAAAGTGCTTGAAGACATTGTTAAAACTTATTCAAGACATCCAAGGCTTTTTGTAACACTCAACCACATCTTCAATATTTTGTTATGAATTCATTTTTTTTAATTTCTCTACTTAAGATATAGCACACCCCTGCAGGCTGCAGGTATGTAAAATGATCTCCCAATTGCAGCAGCTTACTGGCTGCCCTCAACCGAAGAAGCTAGGTTAGTTTGAATGCATTTTTTAGTCAATCTTGATCCAAAAAGTTATCATTGAAAACCTTGCATGTGATGATTGTTTTTTAGGCATCTCTTCGGCATGTTTCTCTATTCGGGTTTAAAGTCCATTTGCTTTTGATTATCAACATTCATCGTTCTTTCAGCATTAATGGAAACACCCTTTTCTTCTTTCTGCTCTTGGAATCTAAGGATTTTCCATTAGGAAGTAACCATCAAATGTTATTTTCTTCTTTTTTTAATGCTTAGTGCTAAAGAAGATGATATACATAGAATCTTGCTGTCATTGAACATACCCTTTATTGATTCAGATGTTCCTAGCTTCCATCCATAAAGGTGGCTTTATTTGAGATTTTATCCTATCAAACGTAAAATTTTTGCTTTGTTTCTCTTATTTTGCAAAACAATGTAACAAGAAATACATTTTAGTATTTTAGTGAGCATTTTCCTTTCACAAAATTCTGTAAATTTGGCAGTTTTTGCCAAGTATCACGTACCAGGTAGGCACTTGAACTGAAGTTCTACTCCCTTCGTCTCACTATATTTGTTTATTTGACTTTTTCGAGTCAAACTAAATAAACTTTCAGTTTATATTAAATAAAGACCATAATATATTTTTGCATAAAAATAATTTTATTAGATTTATCTCATTGACCACTTTCAAAATTGCATTTCTTTATATTAATATGTTATGCAAATTGAGAATATTTGAAGCGTATAGTTTATCCACTTTGATTAATAAAAGTCATAAAATTATCCAGTTTGATTCATAAAATACACTGAGACAGAGGTAGCATTTAGAATTGAATTGAACCTTTTTTTTGGGTTCGTGAATTTGCAAGTCGTAGTTGTTTTCTTCTTAGTGATCATGGAATATGATTATATTGTTAGACATCTATTATGCTAAGTTCAGTAAATATTTTAAATTTAACATGCTAGATGTGTGCATACAATGTGTGTGTATGTATACTGAAGGGATTAAAGCGGTACCTTTATCATCTGTTTTGTTCATATGTCCATCAACATTGTGGCATTTGTTTTCTGAGGGTTGACACGTGATTGAATTATAGGACTAAAGATGAAAGACTTCTCGGTGAAAAAGTTTTCATTCTTTCTTTTTGGAGGTTCCATTCATTTCATGGTATTTTTTTAAGGGGAAGTAATATATTTTTAATTACTTAATACTTTGCTATTGAATGATCATTTTGTAGGATACAATTGACATCCTCCAAGAGTATGCTTTCCCAGATGTGATTCCAAATATAATGAGCTACTATAGGTAAGAATAACATAGTATAAAAGCACACCCTATTATTTATCGATTTGATCATCTCGAGGACTTTATGTGGTGATACCAGAGTATGACAGGTGGGCCTAGGGCTGATCTCTTGACTCTGCCTAGCCATTTTCAATCCTCCCTCACCGCCTGCTGTATTTCTATGAGCCTGAGTCGACCTTAAAGAAAATGGTCTGTTTTTTTCTAAAGGAAGCACATATGAGGGACAACCCTTAGTCCCTTATATAACGGTGTATAATGTTGTGTTTTGTTATTCATTTGGTTTTTACTTTTAGAGTACTCTGTAATATTAGACTTCTATTAGTGAAGTGTTTAGTTGTGACATTCTTTCTTACTAATAGAATTATTTGTCATTCATTTTCGTTTTTGAAGTAAACTTTTCCGTTGAGAATTGACTCAATTAAGAATAAGTAATGTCACCTAATGTGTTTTATTCATGTACTATTTGTTAGGTATTTTTTTAATGATCTGAGATAATTTATGTTATGTAAATATTTTTAAAACTTATGGAGTATTTATTTGATTATGTATTTAGTTTTTTTAACAAATTGTTTATTTTTAAAATTTTGAAAAAATTATATTACCGTGCAACGCACAGGTACGAAGTTGTTATCCCACGTGCAATCATCTTATTCAAGGCACAATGATGATAGGAAAGAATGTCGGGCAAGAAGTTGTTATCCCACGATTGTCAGATGCAAGAATTCCTTTTAGATTTCAAAGGAAACAATTCTTAATCATGACTTCAAACGTAATGATAATTTACAAAGGTCAAGGCTAATCTATGTCGCATGTTGGATTGCTACGGAAGAAATTGGTATTCAGTCATGATTAACTCTATGTTGCAATTTCACGTGTTACAAGTCGCGAGAGGTTAAAAATCTTGATTTGCAATAAAAACCTTATTACGTCAACAAACCAAACTACGAATGTAGTTTATAAAGTACTCAAAAACTTATAACACTGCACATCGACTATAGTCCTTATTGCACACTACCTTATTTTGGGCAATTTTAATAAAATTTGTAATCTTTTAATTTTGTATCATTTTATGTCATTTCAAACCAAGACTAAATATGAGTAATTTTACAGCCCGTGCATCGCACGGGTACAAGTCTAGTTCACAAGAAAAATGTGAGTAATTCTTCAACCCTAGGAGATCACAACTAAGTTTGAAAATGCCGCTAGAGTATAACTATATCATTTGGACTCCAAAATTGCTTATAAATCATAGCAAGTGAAAGGCGAGCCCGTCAAAGGAAAAATGGGGAGACTGTTTCATAAGTTAGTTAAGGGCGCAGGGAGAGAGTGCTGGTCTGGAATGGAATAGGAAACCAGTGGAAGCCACACAACCAAAATCTTTGTGGATGTATCAACAACACATAGATGGTGGGAGCACTGCAGAAGATGGAAAGGGCTGATGCAGTACATCCTGTCATCCTGATCAAATCCTCATTGGGGCGTGGTAGTGCTTGGGGGTTGAAAGAGAAATATACCCGCTTCACATTATCCCCAAAACTACCAAGATTCATTTTCTTTTGTAGATTTCAATTTTCAACATTGAGACTGCTACTCTTTTTCTAGGTATTGTACTTTGAAAAAGCTCATCGGTGGGTATATTGTTGTGCTCAACATATCCACATATTTCTAGAGAGGGCAAAAATTGTTTTAGGAAAAACACGCACTACACAATAAACATGACTCAGATCAATTTTCCCTTCTACCTACATTTAACATTTCCAAACCATTCCTTTTTCTATGGATTTGCAAGACTTGAGTCTAATACTACATATATAAGTGTGATATTGAGTAAAACCATGACCCCGTTTGGGTGGGTTAGGCACGATTTCTAGCTAGTATTGGGAGATCCTGGCATATGCAAGTATAAAATTTTGAAATAATGTAAAGCAAAAAACAAAAATTCAACTCTGATTGCAAATTTGTACATATGAAAATAAGAAATGCAAACCGTGAATTTGATTAACAGTGTCCAAGTGTTCGTCCAACATAGGCGTGTAGCCCCGGTGTTTTTCGTTTCTAAGGAGCTTCATTTTCTCCTTCAATGGCAACTCAAACAACTTTTTGCTTTGCTCAAACACCTCATCCATGAACTCCTGGCTGATTCCATGATTTATCACATAGAAAAATCCTGACTCCGTGCAAGCCTAGTAAATCAGTACACACACACACACACAAAGTGAGCTAAAAATTTCAGACAACATAATCAATTTAAGTTCTAAACGAATCTGTCCAGCAACATTGATACTCCGTAAATAGAGATTGCGATATATACCTGTTTGAGCAGAGAAGCGGAGGCTTTGTTGTCAGGATTGGAAAGGTCGATGCAATTCAGATTAGAGATTTTCGCAGAAGACGGAAGATTCTCGCAAGAATCCGTCATTATCTTGGAGAAGAAAGAAAAACTCTTCTGTTCTTTTCCTCTCTCTCTGGATGGTGGGCTTGTTCTTCTCCTCTGGTTAGAATGCCTCCTACAAATACTCATTTTAAATCAACAAAATATTTAGGAGTTTCCATATTTAACATTAGTTCATTTTGAATCAATAAAATATTATTTTCATATGTTTATTTTAAATTAAAATAAAATTTCTTCTTTACAAAAAATAATATTTTTTATTACAATTATACATAAGGTCCATTTGCTACAAGAAATTGACAGAACTAGAATTGAATTGGAAATTAAAATTTTATAAGTAACATACTACTCATTTGAAATTTGATGCACATCATCTTCATTCTCTTCGTCCTCAAACTATTGCTCTATTGCCAGGCGACAACTGCTATGCTGTTGTGAAATCTAACCGTTGTCGACCACCACGCAATCTTTTCTTCTTCCCATCGAAGATGATTGTCAATCTGACTCACGCTACATCAGATCTGTGGCTAGAATTTCACCCCTTCCGCTTATGCGCTCTTAGTTCGTGTTCCTCTCCAAGAAGTTGACATTATTATCTTTGTCGCGTTGAGTGAGATCCCTGCCACCGCGCTTCTCTTTGTTGCACTTAGCGTTAAACCTCCATTGCGATCGATGCAGCGCCTCACTCCAATTTGATGTCGGCTATACTAGAAAAAACATTACAGCCGAGTGGATCATAGAAGTTGCGAACACCCACTGATGGTAAAAATTATCTCGATCGATATATTGTTTTTAGCCGGGCAAGAACGATAAACCACTAACAAAATATACCAAAATACAAGCACGGGAATTTTGACGTGAAAATCCAATAGGGAGAAAACCACAAGTCTTTTTTGGTGGTACCTTGCCAACAAAAGATTTTTATTAATATCGGAGGTTTGAAGGCGGTATAAAATTGGGGCTTAGAATGCATTAATGGAAGATTGAAGCTTCTTTAATGAAAATATAAGAAAAGCTAACTAGAGAGGAGGAATGTGTTTGCAAGAGAATGATGAGAAGAGAGAGACCCCCTTCACTTGTGAAAGAGCTCTACTTTTATAGGAAGAGCCGGATCATCTAGAGAGGAATATTTTTTTATTCTTTCATTTTATTAAAGAGATTCGGTTGGATTGATCTTCAACAATAATTAGTAAACGTATTATTTCTCATCAAGAAGTTCTCTACTTTTTTAAGTTGTGAGAATCATCAGCTTAAGAAAGTAAATAAATCCTCTCTGTGTTATATTTAGTCTTCATACGTTGTCACTACAAGAAAATCTCATATTTGCAACGGAAATATTGCAACAGACATTTTTCCGTTGCACTATTGCAACGGAAATTTTGTTTGCAACAGAAATATTTTGCAACGGTAATTTTTGCAACGGAAAATAATAATGTCTGTTGCAATTATGGCGCGAGGTTGGCGCCTTTTTCTGGGAGCTTTCTGCAACAGATTTTTGCAATGGTTTTCCCGTTGCAATCTGTTTGCAACAAGTTATTCAACTTTCGCAACGGCATAATCAATTGCGTTAACTCTGTTGCTAAAATATTTAAAACTAAAAAAACTAAAAAATAATTGAAACTAAGAATATGAAATTAAAAATGGTTTTAAAAAACTTTAGAAAACTAATTGAAACTAAAAAAAATAAATGAGCGGTTTATTTGAAAAACAACTTGACCACCCTTTAACTCATCATTTAATAAAATAAGATAGTCACGTCACCTCGTGTTTTGTAGAATTCTTTATCTAATTTTTTACTATATAAGTTTTAATTTTCAATTTTACACCTACTGTACAATCAAATAAATTGAATCGAAAATAAAGTTGGCCAAATTTCGTAATGCGTATAATAGGAAGATCTTTTTTGAACAGAGGGAGTAAAATGTACCTTGGAGTATACTCCGTATTATACTTCCTCCGTTCTCAAAAACACTTTCTCTTTCATTTTTTCCACTTCCAAGAAAACACTTCCCCTTTCTATTAAAAACCACTTTTACCCTTACTTTTTCATACCCTACCTATCACATCATACTTTTTCTCTAATAATCAATCTATCACATTTTACTTTTATTCATCATATTAGGGAAAAATTGGAAATCAACTATAATTTAACAATTCCTTATTTTTGCCCCCAAATCAAATGGGAAGGATTTTTCCAAACGGAGGGAGTAATTTAGAGTATATTTTTTCAATTTAAAATAAATGTGTTGAAAAAGTTACAGTGAAAAAAGAAAGTTAAAAAAATTCAATGTATTAAAAACTAAAAAAACATAAAATAAAAGAAAACTAAAAAAACTAAATAAAATACTCCCTCCGTCCCACTGTGTTTGTCCACTTACCTTTTGGCACAACATCCAATGCACTTCTTTAATCCATTTTATCTTGTAATTTGTATATTAAAAATTTATACAAATTATATATTAATAATCTATATGTTAAGACGAATCAAACAAGATCACACATGACTATTTTTAGGCTTACACATTAAGAGAATTTGATGAGTCAAAGTGCCTAGATGAACAGTTCCAAAAGTCAAATGTGGACAAAAACAATGGGACGGAGGTAGTACTCCGTATTAAAAAGAGTACAGTAAAAAAGAGTAAAAACAAAAACCACTACATCGTTCCTCCGTGTTTCTCGCAAAAGAACAAACCCTTCTTTTGGATTGATTTGTAATTATGGTTTGATTTTAGAATCCAATTAGCAACTTGGTAGATAAAGTAATTATGGAGTATAAAGTAAGGACCAATTAGCAACTTGGTAGATAAATGGGGGCAAATTTACAATATTAAAAGATATTTAATGTTTTGAGATAGGGTTTGAGATCGGAACGGACGGGAAAAAAATCTTGGGCTCTACAACTCGGCTCTTCGATCGGCAACTGGGACACAGAGCCAGGACGGACGGTTTCCAATGCTGGGTCTTCATCGTCGATCGGCTAACCACGAATCGGACTTGAGTGACGCCATACGGGAATCAGGCGGCAACCTGGGGATTTCGATTTCTCCGGCTTCAATTCAGGTTTATCAATTTGTTTTTCTTTATCTGTTTAATCCAAGCTTCTCAATATCCTCTTTAGAATCGTTCACTCTACTTTTGTTGTTCACTTGCTAGATTACTTCCTTTTAATATACATCCATTCTCATTGCTTTATGGGTTGTGTTTCTTGATATCACAAGTGACTAAATATCTAAATTTGAGTGGGTTTATTTGTTGAATTGGTCCAGGTAGAGCTTAGTTAATACAATACTTAATCGAGTGGGTCTTACAACCAAGTTTTAAGCACACTCATCTCTAATCAGCATCAATATGTAAGTTATGCACTTCTATATTCTCGGTTCAGATTTTAGAATTTGTTTTCAGATTCCCATAATCACATTTCATAAGTCACAAATTATGCCTAGGAGTATTTGTTTGTTTGAATCTTTTGGTTTTGCTTGTATATGTAAAAAGTTAGTTTGTTCACAATGATATTTGACACATTGTGCATATGTTTGATTAGTATCTTTTAAATTCGTACCTTCTTTCAAATTTTCTTTTTTTAGATTTATAAGTATGTTTGTTTGTTTAACTATCATTTTGTTTCACAATCATTTTCTAGTTTGCACCAGTTGAGATAGGTCAAGCCAAAGCTAAGGGTATTTTCTCTATTATCTTCAAGAAGGTATTTCTTTTACTCATATCTTTTTTTTTTCCTTTTTTTTATGTCTATGAGCATTTGAGGTGAAAATATAATTTCCAGCTTAAAATCTTTCAATAGGCTTTTTGTGTGTGTGGGTGGTGGGGGAGGGGTTAAGATATATTTTTTTACATTAAATAAACTTTTGGTTATATATCCTCACATATAAAAATATGTAAACTTTAATTATCATTGCACTATGAGTAATTATTATGTATTCATTCTGTTAACATTTATATCTACCATCTTTGGCTATATCATTTTCATTTATAATAATTTATACTGTCTATTTGAAGTGTGCTAACTCTTCTCAGAAACAACCTTATGAGGTATATGGATAATCTTAAGTCAATGGCAGATGAAGTTGTTCCAATGCTCCTCGAAAAGATAAATAATGGGGATGAAGATAATGGCTAATGAAGTTGGTGGCTCTATTCTCAACACAATAGACTAGAAACACTTGTGCCTTTGAGGGAGGCTAGACGTCAAGGACTATGGCTTGTGAGAGATCTTTCAAGCGTCGTCGTAGGAGTATAGGCTCTATTGCTGAATCATATGTTGCCTCTCAAGGAGGATATTTCCTAGATGCTTCCTGAACCCATTGTCCAAACGATACTAGATGAGATGCAAAGATTGTTTGGGGACCGTTTGCCTAGTAGATAGGATGGAGCAGATGGTGACGGAAGTGCACATGTATGTTAGGTTATTGTTTAATTGATTAATGCAAAACAATAGATATTATTATAAGGATACTTGACAAGTACATAAGTTTTATGGAAAATATTGAAACTCTTGTTTTGTGGAATACATGTGTTTGAGTATGTTTGAGTATCTCCGCTACATTTGATGGTTAAGTTTGTGTGAAATTGAGCATGCATGTAGTACGTCGTGGTTTTTTTCAACTTTTGCATCGAAATATTTCGTTGCAGTTGAGATATTATTTTCGGTTGCAAATGAATATTTTTCGTGGCAAATATCAGTATTGAAATTTCCGTTGCTGTTTTCTATTGCAAAATTTTGCAACAGAAAAAACAGTTGCAAACTTTTGTTGCATTATGTTGCAACAGGATTTCTATTGCAAATGCTAGCAACGACCTTTACGTTGCATGTTTTCCGTAGCAGCATTGTGCAACAATATTTCCGTTGCAAATTTCCGATGCATTGCTTTGCAATGGAAAATCCGTTGCAGAAATGAATCTGCAACAATGGTTTTTGCAACGGAAAAATTGCAACAAAATATCCGTTGCAATCAACATTAGCAACGGAATTATACAAAAAATGCAACGGAAATTGCCATTGCAATTCTGTCTAATTCTTGTAGTGTGTGTTCTTGAATGTTTGATCTTGCTAGTCGTCCAAATCTTTATTAATACTCTAATTTCTTGAATCAAATATTTTTCCTGTAAAAAAAATAATACGTACCACATTTGACCGGCCAATGTCGTGCTCAAGCATATTATTTTTACCAAGGAGCTCGGTGATAGAACAGATAAACCATGTGCGAATAAAAAAAGGTGCGCCTTTAAAATGAATAATTTTGGTGTTATTTTCTAAGTATGATGCATCTATCTTACACATCTCATTTTACTCTATTATAAAGTAAGGGCAACATTAAAAAACAATACCAAAATTACTCATTTTGAGGGTACGTTTTTTCAAAAAGTAAAATTTTATGAGTCTGAAAGAGTACTTTTTTTTCTTTAATTTCTCTTCTCATATTGGCCTTTTTTATTCTCTCCCTCTCATGCTTTTGCCTTTTGTTCCCATGTTGGTTCTACAGTACAACGCAGGTTTTCTTACTTTTTGAACTCCAACATACCTCCGGGTGTGATATAAAGAGGGATTTGATAGGATCTAAAGCAAGGAAACGCTAAGGCAACCACTTCAAAACCAGAGAGAAAAGAGGGTTGGATTCTTCTAGGAATATGAACTCCTCAACCAAAGAAGGGACGATTCGTCCCCATTAAAATCACTCTTCGTTGAGAGAATATCCTAACAACTCTTTAACCAACTCCTCTCATCCTCGCCCTCTAGTCCGCCTAATCCTCAACCTGGCCTGCCCCCATTAGGGGGAGGAGTGGAGGATCTTGATTCTTTCAATCGATAGTGTTTTGGACAAAATTTATCTAATTTGACTCAAAAAATCAAACACTGGACAGAGAGATTAATATAGAAAGAGAAAAAAATATTCGAAAATAGAACTCGTAAATATCCTTCTAGAACATCACGATGGTTCAATTTGATATTTTTAAATAATTATCCTACAAAAATGTTGGGATACACTAAAGGTGCACCAAAGGTGTACCCCATTTGTTCCTCCACCCCTCCTCCACCACATAAATGGGCAAAAAATTTATAAATAAATAAATAATTAAAAATCAAATAAATATGTGTAGTGGAGAAGGGGGTGGGGGACAAATAGGGTACACCAAAAGTGTAGCCTAGCATTGCTCTTATCCTATGCTCCACTCGTTCTTGCATTCAAATTTGATACAAGCAATTGCGTGACCAATAATTTACCAAATGTGCTCACATAAATACGTTATAATTATGTTTTTCCAAAAAAAATCATTAAACTCCACAACAACCCATCTAAAATCAGGATGACAACGGGTCGGATTCGAGTCGGATAGTAATATACCCAAATCTGACCCGACTTTTAAACCCGAAACCCAACTTTTAACCAAAAACTCAACCCGATCGGAACCCAACATCTAAACCCAAAATCCAAACATGAATCTATAATTTCACCAATAACCAATTCGACGTACCCCAATAATTTTAAAAAGAGTAAATCTAAATTCTTGTCTCTTTTTTGTCTCATTTTTTGATCGAGGAATCATAAAAAGAATTATACTCTATAATAGAGATATTTGGTATAGTAACACATTATCAAGTTAATTACGTGGCTAGAAATGTGCACATGAGAGTAGACAAACCAGAGATGCAAGAAGGGAAAAGATGCAAGGAAGGAAGAATCATAGGAGAATGGAAAATGCACAGAGATGTAATGTAAGGACCAAGAGAGAGATGCAGTTCCACTAGAAAAATGATGAGAAAAATTATATAGAGTGTTCATTATATCCCTCAATAGGGTTTTAGGTTATAAAATAGTCAGGTTCGAGTCGAGTCAGGTAAAATTATAAACGCACAACCCGATCCAACCCAATATCGGGTTCGGGTAAAAAAAATTTGGGTTGGGTTCTAGTAAAAATTTTGGGTTGGCTTTGGATTATTTTAATCTCAGGTCGAATTCGGATATTTTAGTGTTCGACCGGGTCGGTTAAAATCGAATTCGGGTTGAATTGCCATCCCTACCATAAGCTAAACATACCTTAACCAAAAAAATCAAAGAGGGAATACAACAAGACACCTGTGCAGGAGACAAACCAAACAACCCATAAAGAAGACAAATGTAAGATATGAAAATTATGAGTTATTTATAGGGAAGAGAATATGTAAAAGGGGCTTTAAGGGGCAGAGACACCGAAAAAACAAGTGCGAAGAAGATGAAGGTTACACATTTACATGACTTTGAGAAAAGAAATCTAAGCTTACACAAATCAATGAAGCCTTGCACATAACTTTCGCTCAATGGAACGAAGTAATCGGCACACTACACTGCCATGTATTTCTAAATCAGATCCAAACTATTACTCCTTCATTCTTCTGATGGCCAGTGATCTTTTCACGTCGTTGCTTTTGTTCTGCTTCCTATTGTTTCAATGAAGAATATTCACCTTTTCTTGAAAATAAAAAGCATATAACTCCCCCATTTCAGCTGAAAATGCAGCCAATCAAGGCCGGCCTGCAAATACCTCCAATACCCATTTTTTCTATTGCTGATTCGTTAGCCTCTTTGATTATCCCATTCAAGTCTGCGAGGAGATTGGACCCCATTCAACTATCTCTTTTCTCCCATGGGCCAATCCTATAGAGTAATCCAAGAACAGAACGATATAATATCATGTGTCTTGAAGAGAGAAAAACCTCATGGCACCATTGAAGCTGTACACATAGATATGGCACTCTGAATTACCTGCGAGAGGAATACAATGGAGATAATTGCTATGATGCAAAATGATACTACGGGGCTGTTTGGTAACTTCTGAATAAGTAAGTGCTGAACCAGTAAGAGGTCTGAACCATTAAGAGCTAGTATATTGCTTAACTATTCAGAGGCAAATGTCTGATCAATTCAGATAAGAGCTCTTAACCATTCAGACTCTGTATAATACTTAACCATTCAGAGGCAAATCTCTTAACCATTCAGACATCTGAACCATTAAGAGGCTGAAACAAACAGTCTGAACCATTAAGTGCTGAATCATTCAGACATCTGAACCATTAAGAGCTAGTATATTGCTTAACTATTCAGAGGCAAATGTCTGATCAATTCAGATAAGAGCTCTTAACCATTCAGACTCTGTATAATACTTAACCATTCAGAGGCAAATCTCTTAACCATTCAGACATCTGAACCATTAAGAGGCTGAAACAAACAGTCTGAACCATTAAGTGCTGAATCATTCAGACATCTGAACCATTAAGAGGCTGAAACAAACAGCCCCTACGTATGTTATAAGGTGCTGCTACAGGAGCATGTGTGAAATAAGCTATTATTTGTATTGGGCCATTCTAAAATACACATTATGCTAACAAGTAACAACAACAAAAGACAAACTCAATGTAATCCCAAATCTACTGGGTCCGGGGTTAATGCAGACAGTTTTACCAGTGTAAAAGCAGAGGTTACTTCTGTTAGACTAGTGATGCATTGTTGCATTTACTACCCAATACTTCATATAAAGTAAATAAAGAAAGGGAACTGTAATGTGACGTTTTGATTTGGTCTATTGTTTGCGTGAGGCCAAAACACAAAATAGAGATAATGGTGCAAGGAATATTACCAAAAAACAGGTGTGGTTTTGATGTTTCAAATGACTTCAAGAAGACAGCAGCCCTCTACTTCGCATTTAAATAATGCAACACGCTCAACAAAGACTTGTGGGTCTTCTCGTTCATGAAACTATCCCTCTTTCTAAACTCTTCAAGAAGGTCAAATGCATCTTGCCCTTTCCCATCCCTACACATCTCTTCCAACACAGTTTTATAAGTCAGCAAATCAGGAGACAACGAATTGCTCAGCATATCGAAGGCCACATCAATAGCTTCCTCGAATCTCCGCTCCATTGCTAGACTGCATATCAAAATCATGTAAGTACTTCCCTTGGGGATAAAGCCCTTGTCCCTCATGTCCTTATAGAACCCCTTTCCCTGATCGACTCTCCCCTTCTCACACAACCCTTTGGCTAAATAACTATATGTGTATGCATTTGGTTCACAGCCGTATAATCCCATTTCACGAAACACCCGGATTGCTTCATCAACCTCAAGACACTTTGAATAAGCCTTTATAATCATATTCAAAACATAAGTATCCGGAATCACACCAGATGCCTTCATTTGCACAGCTAATGATCTCACGGAATGCATGTACACATAAGAAACAGCCAGCTTGTTAAACTTAGGGAGCAGGGCATTCAGTAATAGCGTGTAGGTTTCCAGATTTGGCTTAGCATCCTCACATTTCAGCATTTTCTTGTAAATGTCAAATGCTCGGTTGAACAGCGATTTCCGGCTGCAACAGAACCTAATCATGTAATTGTATAAGGGGAGACTCGGCTGACAAGCCCCGGCGAAGACCTCCTCAACTAGGGTTTCAGCAGCCCGGTAACGCTTACCGGAAACGGAGATGCGGATAATGCGGTGGTAAGTGACGTGATCATGCTTGTAGCCTCGCTGCTGGCCCGTCCACCGGAAAATGTCGAGTGCCATATCCGGATCCGATTGGGCCTGCAAGGCTTCATCGACGTCCGACGGAGTGAACCCTGGACGGAGTTTGTTAATCCACGAATCGAATTGCCTTTCCGATGGGGTTATAGTCCGGGGGTTAGGGTTGGGCAAGGCTTTGGAGGGTTGTGAGAGGGGCGGCGACAGAGCGCCGTGGTGAGAGGTTGGAGAGGCGGAAATGGTCCTACAATGGAGAGATGAGAGTGCGGACGATCGAAATCTGGAGATAATCTGACGGCACACAGCAGCTCGCATTTCGACGGGACGGCGGAGGGGCAGTTATGAGGTCGCCGGATTTGGGGTTAAGCTTTTTAAGATTTACCAGAAATTTATATTTATTTGTGTTTTTTCATGGCCTATAGAAATTTATATTTATTTGTGTTTTTTCATGGCCTATGATAAAATAAAATATTCTTGTCACCACTTGTTTTGTTGAACTTTTGATGTAATTTTTAAATATGTATGTTTTATTTTTTATTTCTATACCAATATTTAAATAAAATAGATTGAAAAAACTTGGAATTTTTTTTCGTTTTGCGAACCGGAAAGAAAGATATAAGACGGAGGGAGTAATTTTTTGAGTCATGTTAGATACACTCAAATCAGATATTCTATTTGTATATTTGTAAGAGTAATGCTAGAGTTACAAATTAAATGTTCATAAAATACACAAACTTACCGAGTACTAGTATCACACCCGTGCGTTGCACGGATCATATTTATGTTAGTAATTTATATTAACATCATTTTTGAAAGATAAAAATTGATAATAATCTAAGTGGTGTTTACTACTCCGGGGTAATTAACAATACATTGTCACCAAAAGTCAATTTCTGAATCCCATAAATTTGTAACGAAAATCCCATAAATTTGTAAAGAAAATTCAGAAAACTTTCCCGAAATCACTTTAAGTTTTGTCCTTGCAAAGAATTTTAGTATAAAAGGGTGGCTGGTAGTTTTCGTTGTTTGGTAATTGTGTTGTGCTTTGACTCATATCAGTAAATAAACACTATCTTCTTTCAATTTTTCATTGAAAGTGCGTGTATTTGAATCCCTAATCTCGATCTCTCTGACAGTGCAAATGAAAAAATGTGCATATTAACATCATTACAACGTTGTGAATGTTCAGGTTAATTATAATAAAACAACTAACATCTGAATCATGAAAAATTACATCCAATTATTCGGGTCCCCTAGCATGGGCGGGGAAATGATAAACTTTTATCTCTCTTAACTTAAGCATCAAAACTAATGACCTACCTCTCACTAATATTTTTTAGATTTGTTATTAACAATCCCAGGTTGCTCGAAAGGTGGAATTGAATTATAATATAATATTTAATATAATAAGAACTTAATAAGAAATTTAAAACTCAAAACGCAATTCAAAGAGGGTAATTAATTACAAATTAAAAAGAGTTTGAGAATGTCCATATGTATTGTAGGAAAATTTTAATTTCTTTCTCTATTTCGGATTTTGTAAACTTTTTTTAATTTCCGAAATCAGCCTAGTCAGTCTAGCCTTTTAATAAAAATGGAAACTTATTGATACGCTATATTTTTTCTTGTATTCTCCCAACCAACAAATGGAAACATAGTAAAAATTATTTAACAAAATTAATGCCTAGGCACTATATTTTTTTGTTTTCGGAATTTGTTTTCCATTTCGGGATTTGATACTTACCAAAAACTTATGCATACCAATGTTTTAATTTTTTTTATTTCAGAATTTGCAAGTTTTAAAATTTTCAGAATCAGCATAGTCAGTCAAGCCTTCTAATAAAAATGAAAATTTATTGGTATGGTATATTTTTTTGAGTATTCTTCGAACAAAAAATGAAAACATAGTACTTCGTCAAAATTGTTTAATGATGCTTACTAAAATTAATGCCTATGCAATATATTTTTATGAGAAATGCTAAGTTCATAAAGCTAAGAAACTAATCAGAAATTTCACCAACTTATTATTTGTGATTTATATTCTTTTTTGAAAATTATTCTAGACTATTTTATTTGTTTATTGAACTTCACAAATTATAAGGTAAGTTTGTGAACTTTGTGACCATTTGATTTGTGAACCTAGCATTTCTTAGTTTTTTGTATTCTCCCAACCAAAAAATAGAAACATGTTAATTATTAATTAATGATTACCAATATGTATGAAAAATTTAATTTCTTTATTGTTTTTTAAAATATATAAATATTTTTTTATTTTCGTATTTAGATTAAAAATAGTAATTAAGCTAGCCTTTTAGTAAAAATGGAAACATAGAAATACGTAATATATCTTTTTATATTCTCCCAACCAAAAATGGAAACATAGTAATTATTAATTAATGCTTACCAAAATGTAAATTTTTTATTTTCGTATTTAGATAAGAAATTGTAATCAGGCTAGCCTTTTCACGAAAATGAAAAAATAGAAATATGCAATATATTTTTTTGTATTATCCCAATAAAAAATGGGAACACGCTAATTATTAATTGATGCTTAATTACCACTATGTAAAAAATTTAATTTCTTTACTGATTTTGGAATTTGTAAATTTTTTATTTTCGTATTTAGATTAGAAATAATAATCAGCCTAACATTTTTATAAAAATGGAAACATAGAAATACACTTTATATGTTTTTTGTATTCTCCCAACTAAAAATGGAAACATAATAATTTTTAATTAATGCTTACCAATATTAATACTTACTCAAATGTTACTCGAGTAACACACACTTTCTATATATTATTTTGACATATTTTATATTCTCCAAACCAAAAAAATTGTAATATAGTACTTATTAAGTAATACTTATCAATATTAATTAATACTTAGAATAAATGTAATGGGTAACATGCACAAAACTTTCCATTTAATCCTCTCACGTTTGGGCGGGAAAAAATTCACTTCTTTTTAAATAAAGTATAGATGTAAAGTAATGGTTTGAACTAATGGTCCATATTTGTAAACGAGACAAACACGGTATTTGGTTTTTGTGACTCAAGTAGCCAATTGCTAAAGCCTTTTTTTGAAGAAACAAAGCCTTTTTTCTTGGTTGATCAAATCGGGCAAAAGCCATCTTAGAGCAAAAATCCAAACATGCCCAATACTCATTTTTGCATATGTGCAATTGCAAATGTATGTACCAAAAACAACAGGTACATTAATATTTGAGCACTACAATTATACTTGTTTCTTAATGTATAAATATTCATAACCCAAATTCTATCATATTCACGAAATTTAGAAAATCATTGTCGTACCACTACAGGGTGTCATCCTTGCATTGGGAGCAAGCGTCGATCAGATCATCCTCTAAGGTTTTGGCTTCGATACCATGAAAAAATTATTTGGAAATAAATTTTCTTGTATTTCTTGTATTTACAATTTACAAAGAAGTCATATATATATATATATATATATATATATATATATATATATATATATATATATATAGGCTCTCAACAAAGAAAACAAATCCCTATACAAGGAAACTACTAAAATAATTTACTCCCTCCGTCCTCCTAAGATGTTCTCATTTTGACTTTTGGCGGTTTTAAGAAGATTTGAAAAAAGGTGAAAGTTTATCATAATACCCTTAATGAAAATGAGTGGAATGTATTAAATGATGTGGGTGAATTGTAATAAATAAAGTAAGTGGGGATAGTTGTGGTATTTTAATTGTTAAAAAATGAAATGAGAAGATCTATTGTGGACAAAGAAAAAGAGCTATTGGGAAGATCTATGAGGGACGGGGGGAATACATCCAAATATTCCCTTGTATTCCCTTTAACAAAGAGTCGTCGTGGCATTAGATGAAGCCACCATTGCCACAGTTAGAGTTCTGCCTCTCTTGTTTCGAAAGGCGAAATCTCTCATTCCAGGCACTCGTCAACCCTTGCCCGACGGGATTGTGAAAAGATGTAAATTGTGGTTCAACTGGCAACGAAGACTGAAACCAGTGTTCACATGCACGAAGGAGCCTCAATCATTTTTTTGAGAGTTTGCTCCCACACTTTCGCTGCCACAGTTATAGTTGTTCAATTTCTCTCATTTGCGATCAATGCAGTGTTGTCTACCACAACTGACGCTAATTATACTGGATAAAGGGTTGTTGGGACTGCGCGTGCCCTCACTCCAACCCCGCATTAGTATGATGTTGTCCGCTCTGGGTCAACCCCTCACGGATTTGTTTTTGGGCACTTTCCAAAAGGCCTCATACTAATAGAGTAGGGTGAACCTATATATCTATCTATAAATAGAAATACTAATGATCAAATAGTTACATTGAAGATTGTGAAAAGTAAATTGAGAAGATTCAAAAGGGACGGCGAGAGTTTTTAATTAATGAACAAAATTTATTAATTGTGATTGCAAAAGATCAAATTTAAACATATAATAGATAGTAATAAAAAATGTTAAAAGAAATCCAAAAAATTATTCATAGTAAAACATATTTTGTCAAAAGATCTCTATATTTTTTTTTAAAAAAATAAAGGTCCTTATATTTTGTTCTAATGATTGAGATGAGACATTCCATCTAAAACTTCATCCATTGGTGTAAATAAACGTCTTTTTCTTATATTTTCATTACGGTTTTATTTTAATAACTTCAAGGTACCTCAATTTTTTGTTCTTTGTTTCCTTTTCTATAAATGTTTTTTTAATTCTTTTAGAAATTAGATTCAAAAATTCTTTTTTGTATAATACAAAAAAAATGAAATAAGGATCTTATCATCTAGAAAGTGAGATATCTTTTTTATTTTAATACTCGTGCAAAGTATTAAAAAAAATTTTGTGGAAAAAAAAATTCCATGCTTTTTTTCATATTTTTTTCCTTTTATTTTACTACTTATTTTATCTTTTTAGTATCATTTATTTTTTATATCGTATAAAGAAATTAAAGTAGGAGCGATATAGAAAATATACCAAAATAGGAGTTTCATATTTTTATTTAAATAATAATAGTTAAAATACATTTACAATTTCAATCATATCAATATTTAATACTAAAAGGATTGTGAAAAATATTCATATACAATACTACATTATCACAATGCAAACGCGTATTTTGAGATAACAATATAGATTTTTTATGTTGATATTTTCTTAATGTTTCATTCCGATTTAGGGTGATTTCTTTACAAACAATTTTGAATTTTTTTATAGGTTTTCTAGAAGAAATTTTAAAAACTTGTTAAATAAAGAGAGAAAAAAAAAAAGGAAACCGGAAAAGTAAACTAAGATAAATGTTAAGGAAAAAATAGAAAAAAGTACATTTATAAATGCTTGGGGTTAAAATAATAGAAACCGCCCTCACTAAAA